AATGTTGGTATGTTCTCATGATGTGTATGTGTGTGTGTTTTGTGTTTTACTTTCCTTCGTCAGCCTCTTTTTCTTTATCATCTTCATATTGTGTTCCTCCACAGGTCTCGGCCTGAGTGTGCACCTTATGTACCTCGGGGAGAGTTCTCCAAAGAAACTCAGAGGTTTCCTGACCCTCACAGGCTCGATCTTCATCGGATTTGGAAAAGTCGTGGGTCAAATCATTGGCATTAAGTAAGAACTGACTGTTGCCACTTTAAAGCATCAATTCAGAACAAAAAAAAAGTTGTCTGGGCACAAAGAACAACATCCATACTCACTTACTTATTAAAGAGGTCAACTTGTTCCCAACTAAAGTACAAGACCTTGTTGACCTTGTCTTACTAATTAGCACAAAGTGATTTCTCTGGATAATGTATTAAGCTATCTTAATTACTGATCTACAGTATCTCCCCTCCGCTCTTTGTTTTACACTCTCTGTAGGGAGATGATGGGTACAGAAGAAATGTGGCCGTATCTCTTAGCTGTCAGTGGGATTCCTGCCATCCTGCAGTTTGTGACGCTGCTCTTCTTCCCCGAGGCTCCACGATACCTTTACATTGACAAAGGAGACACTGAAGGCACCAGAAAAGGTGAGCAGACACAGCAGACCAACTTTACAAGTTTAGAAGTTATAATGTCAGTAAGAGAGGAAGCTTTGACTTGTACAGATTTATTATTTCTTTGTATTTAATGTGTGCAAAAGCCTTGCAGTGGCTGTGGCAGGAGGATGACTTAAAGCAGGAGCTGGATGACATGCAGAAAGAGAGAGAGAGCACACAGGGAGAGAAGGCGAAGACCGTGAAGGATGTTCTCACCTCTCGCTGTGTGAGATGGCAGCTGCTGACTCTGGCCATCCCCTGCGCCGGCGTTCAATTCTGCGGCATCAACGCTGTACGTTTTTCTCAGCTTTCCCACTTCATAACACAAGTATATACATTCACACAATATGTTAAAATCTAATGGCCTCTTGTATTTCATTCTCTCATCCAGCTGTATTTCTACGCCTTCGACATCTTCCGTGAGTCAGGAGTGCCAGAGGACCAGATGCATTACTTGTCCATCGGTATTGGAGCAACAGAGGTCATCACTGTAACACTGTGTGTAAGTATCTCTGTAAAGTAGCATGAAACTGAATCACTAACTTACTCTGACATCTAAATGCAGTTATCAAACAACTGAAAGAGACTGGGGGTTTGGGCCTCAAAGGAGTATATATTTATATATTAGTATATATGTATACAGTTCAGTTTATGGACCTTTTTCCTCAACTGCTCATAATCTAACAAGGTGATTATGGAAGAATAATACTCAGTACTACAGTTTTGTTTAAGATACTGAGTGCTTCACATTCTTTGTTTTTAAACACATAAACGTTCAGTAAGCCGTACAATGAGAAATTTATCAGATTAAAAGTAGAATATTTCCATAAAGTAAATAACTGCTTTAATAAATGTGTTGTTATTTGTTCAATCATCGCTTCATCACTTCATTTGTCCCCCAAGGGCAGTTGGTAAAACATAAACACCGAGCACATTAATACGTGATATAAATACATATATATTATAGAAATGGGAAACAATGGAAAATATGCTGATTTTAGGAAAATTGACGCCTTTTGTGATCACTGGGATAAAAGCAGTCAATAGTATGAGAAATTTATTTTATATTGTGATACCATTGGTTGAGTGGGGGTACGTTTTATTTTTTTTTCCTGTATGTTGTGTTGCTATGTTGGGACTTTTGTACATAACTTTGAAAATTCAATAAATGATTTTAGTAAAGAAGAAAACATACATATTGATGATTATATTGTTGATTAGTTACATGTACTACAGAAGGTCTAAAGTTCTGTGTGATGATGAAGAACTAAATGACAAAACTTATGTTTGCCATATGTGTTCATTCTCACTGTTGTGTCTCAGTCTTTCTTGATAGATCGAGCCGGCAGAAAGAAGTTGATGGGCTACGGCTATCTCTCGATGGGTATCACCATGTCTTTACTTACTGTCATGCTGTCCATCAAGGTAGATACAGTCCAACAACAGTGCACCTTCCTCTACCCTGTTTAACAGAGGACAAATGATACATATTTCTCTTTTCACACAGGATCTGAATTCATGGATCCCGTATGTGAACATCGCCCTGATCTTTTGTGTCATCTGCATTTATGGACTTGGACCTTGTGAGTTTTCTTGCTTGTTAACCTCACAGGTGAAACAATACATTGATATTTTTTTATCCGATTTAAATTTATTTATCTTCTTTCAGCTGGAGTGTCTATGGCCCTTCCTGCTGACCTCTTCCTGCAAGCCTGGCGGCCTTCTGCTTATGTGATCAGTGGGACTATCAACTGGCTGGGCATGTTCCTTGTGGGGATGTTGTTCGGCTACATTGTGGTGAGATACCTTTATAAATATTTATATATGTCAAATAATCAGTATGCATTATGTCTCTATATGTCTTTATATCAGGTCAGCTACTCGATCTAACACAATGTGATTTCATGTGTGTCCGTACAGGATGGACTCGGGCAGTTCTGCTTCCTGATTTTCGTGGCTTACTCCGTTTGCAGTGCAGCGTTTCTGATATATTTTGTCCCAGAGACCAAAGGAAAGACAATGGTAGAAATTATGGAGGACTTTAACAAACTTAATTACAAGAACAGGGCCGCTGACATTGAGAAGACTGGCACTAGTGCTGAAACTAAATTGTAATTTAAAAAAAATATTTTATCACTTTTGACATTTTTTTGTGAATTGTGAAGTGTGAATTCCTCAGTTAAACTACATTTCAAGAAAAAAAAAACATGTAATTGATTGTGTATCATTCAACAGTAAATAATAAATATAGCCTCTGTATACATTTATTTATTACCTTTTAGTATTACCATCTAACAGATTGTTAGAAATGTTGAAACCAGATCATGTACACGGCAAGTGCTGACAAGAGGAAGTGTGTAAATATATTATCATGTAAAATAAAACATTTGTAATTTGCATACTGTCTCGTTTTGTAGTTATTTACTATATTTGATTGGTATTTATTACTGTAAATAATACATTTGCTTGAAAAAGGGTCCAAATTAAGACATTTTAACTTAAAAACATTAAATTATTGTGGCACATTAGTAAAGCATTAAATATAAATATCTAAAGGTGGCATTAGAAAACAATAAATCATTTTATTTCTGTCTTTTTTCATTGAAATTAAGCCTATCACATGTCACAAATGTGGGTAAAAAAGATCATTAAATTAATTAATAAAAATCTTCTAAATTCATATGTATATATATAAGTTTATATATGTTCATAAGCATGTTGTTGATAAATATAGTGAAGAATATTTGCCTCTGAATTGTACTTGAGTACAATGAAGCTACATAAAATGGAAATATTCAAGTGAAGTTCGAGTACCTCGGAAATTATGCTTAAATACAGTAGTTGAGGAAATGTTACTTTCAATCACTGCACACAGGTGATAAGAAGTTTTTAAATGCAGTAAAAAAAAAAATTAAAAAAAAAAGGCACTGAATCTCTGGTCCCCTAAAAACAATGTCATATAAAAGTTTAAATGAACTGTTGGTGTGAATGTGTTAGTTTGCTGGTGAAAAACCAGCAGCTATATTTGTCTGTTAACTGTTTATGACAGTAACACATCTTTTAGTTTTATAACTACACAAAAAACACTTCATAAATCATCTAAAATCATTAAAAAAACAAAACAGCCAAGTGTCTCTGTTTTCAAGAGTTTTGAATTGCACTTCCATAATTACCGGTATAAATATTCATGTATATTTGGAGCACTTTATGGAGCCTTTGTTTTGCACCTGTTATTTCCTCCGAGCTCTGACTTGACAGAAAAGATTACCCAGGTATTTATTTCCAGGAGTATTTTTCCACCACCTCCCGCTTTCTCACAGAGCATGAAGTGTTGATGCCATTTATTTAAAAAGAGAAAAAAGATAGCAGATTTTTCAATTGCAATTTATTTGACACTCATCTCTGTACCAACAAGAGAGATGAGACTCAATAACAGAGTACAAAAACAAATATCTATAGAAAAGTATGCTTATATTGAAATATGTCCAAAGACGTTATAACAAAACATGTAGCTCACATGTTTTAAGAGCAATCTTGTTGAGTACGATGATAAAATACCAAGTTTAACATATTGTACATTTTCTGTGTGTTTTTATACAAAAGTGTCAATGCAAGTCACTCTGTACAATTCATTAACCTTTAGAAAAGAGGACCTTTTTTAATCCACTGCTGTGCACAATCAGTATTTGGAAGGCACTTTGCAACAGACCAAAAGCAGAAAGCAAACATTTAGGGCCTAAATAATCCTTGGAAACATTACACTTGAGTACCAACATGAGTGAAAACAAAACCATACATCCCCCAGTGAAGAAAAACACTCAAAACAAAAAGGATCATTATTTTCCTTACAGCATCTTCCGCTTGTTTTCAAACAATCGATAACAAAACAAACCCTTATTACCTTTTTGAAGAAGTAAATACTAGTGCAGAGTGGATCAAAAAAGGACAAAAAACCTTGGTCAAAGACGTGAGTCGTGCAGCTGGCAGTGTGAGCGCTACCAGAGCAGAGTGACAGTACGGTGAACAGCGAAACTATTACTGCCACCAACCAGTGATCGACATTCAGTCCCCCAGTTCAGCTCGCATGCCGGAACATGCAGTTTACGCTTTCAATCAAATGGCCATAACTTAACATCCCTCCACATGATAGACAAGAAGAACGAAAAAAAAAATGTATATGTACAGGACCACCATTGACAAACACTGATCATATCGGTTGGTTCATATATATTTATATATATATATTTATAGAA